GTCTGCAACATCGGTGACAGCGTATACCGAAGACAAGGAAATGTCATCTCTTCTCGTTGGTACTAATAGCACCCCCATTACGTACAAAATAAACGTTTGAAGAAATAGATCGCCGCTATCTTTCATCTTCGACAACGCCTTCTGCATTAAGCTTGTTGAAATCGCCTGTCGGCCACATTCAGGTGTCGAAAACACTCTAAATGGTTCCAGTTCCTCGGATCTTCCTCCCACTTCTTCACCATTCAAGATGATATCAGTACCTCCCTCAAGCACGCCCATAATTTGCTCGAAATCTTTGGCCGAAATATGCACTTCCAACCCATACGCCTTAATTGTGCTTTCTTCCAGATTAAAGCTCTTCAAAAGTTTCTCCAACAACTCACGTTGTAGCATTCTTCCTTTGACTTTAAGAATACGACCAAAGCCACATCTCTTAATGGCCTCTGATTGACAAGCCTCTAAATTTGAGACTAGTGAGAATACTTTCCTAGGAGAACATCGCGTGCTAAAAATTTCATGCCTCTTCGTCTTCATTATAGAACAATTTTAGCAAAATGCAAAATTAAAACAACAAAAAAATTATAAGCATGCCTTGAAACACGAATTATAAGCATGCCGAAGAGTACAAACAAAATACAAGTTCTAACTACCAGAAGAACTGAAAACCCCATACATCAACACCTGAGTACACTAATTAACCATGAAATCCGCCATTGGCATATATAAATTTCACCCAAAACACCCAGCTTTCATTAAATTTCACCCAAAATGCAAATTCTCACGGCCGTGACATGACCCGTGACAAGCAAAGAGTAGTTTTCATATTTCCAGACAATCTCACGGCTTTGGCTTCATAAATCACGGCCGTTAAAATAAGTCGTGAAACTCAAAACACCCAGATTTCACTAAACATTCTCACGGCTAATTCTGGAAATTTCACAGCTGTAACATCTTTTCATGAGATAAGCAAAACAGAAGAAAAGGTTTAATCATCTATTCACAGAAGAAAAGGTTTTCTCTTTGCAGTCTCAAACTTGTTATCAAGGTCATCGATCTCCGAAACTAGAGGGTGTGATCTAGCAGGCAAACTATTGGAGCAAGCATGGAAAGAAGCAGGCTGCCATTTTTTCTGGTTTTCTTGATGTGGGGAAGTTGTATGAAGTATGGAAGAGATGATTTGTACAGAGATTTCTGACATGGTTGTTTAGATCCAAATCATTCACAACATTTTCTCATCTCATTCATCCATTCATTGTTTTATAAATGCAAACAGAATGAGATTCCTCATGTGTCTCCTTTGCCATCTGCCATATATAATGAATCAGATGCAAAAGCAAACACAACAAAGAAAATGTTATTTTCAGAAAGCTATGCTGAAACCAGAACCACCATATCCAGGATGCTACAGGACACTCAGGAAGTCGGTCCCAGCGTGTGTTCGAATCGTGATCGGCCTAGTTTGATAATTGATCTACAGACATAAACAAAAACCCGTTGCTGTTTAAGTTTATTGCTGGTTTCTAAGCTGGGAAAAACCATAACCAAGTGGCAAGGTAGAGATGAACTAGCAGAGCAGATACTCGGCATTGTTGACTTAGTTTGGCAACTAGTGACCAATTACTTGGCTTGGAGCCTGATTGAGAGAAATGAATGACAACAAGCACTCCAACACCTCAAAAACAGAAGATAAGCAAAACAAAAAAAAAAATGTCACGGAAGATCAGCGAAATTGATAGCTCTAAGACCACTGAGTTGTTTGCTGAGGTTAGTTCCCCTGATAAACTCGAAAAAGTATCTGTCTAGGGATGTATAAAACTCATTCCCGGCCTTGAGGCCTGATATGAGAAACTTAAAGAAGCAAAATTGACTATGAATTAACTCTATAAACAGCAAAAATCCTGAAAATAACTCGAACTCTAGTGGGATGTGGGAGATAAAAATTGACTATTAAGTAAACTCTACAAACCCATTCCTTACATCCCTAAAACCCAATCAAGACCAAAGAACTAAAGAAGCAAGCAGACCAGCTACCGTCTATCCACAAATCCGATCCAACCATACAAGTCCAGGAGATCAGCAGTTCCAGTGGTAGAAATTCGATCCAAAGAAAGGAAGTAACAATGACTGATACCAAGACAAGGAAGTTAAAGGCGAGAAAACAACTCTGCATCACAATCGCAAACCATCAGATGCAAAATTCAACCAAGTATTTCTAATGATGATTGTTCACTACCCAGCAAGGCAACCACAACCATGCACAACTCTCCCTTCAAGCTTCAATGTGTAAATCGACTCACAATGAACTTTAGTAGCAGGAAATCTATGGCTGTATGGTTAATGGAGGAGCAACCAACAACCACATTACACCACGTTGCTTTGACAAAGACCTCTCTGCCCATATGAAAAGAAGCTTTTTGGAATTGACAACATGTTCCTTCCCACTGGAGACACAGCCACACCAAGGAAAAAAGACCAGCAGAAGTAGAACATGCTACTTATCATGACAAGTTTAGAATCAACCAACTCACCCCTAATTCTGTAAACAATAAGACTGTCTACAAGATGAACTGCAATGGCTTTCAGAAGGATCTCGATCAACATCGACCTACATCTATGAGGTCCACAATTAAACCAATACCAGGACATCAACAAGCAACAACAAAACTTTACCAGTAGACTAAAACACTTCAATTCGCTTTAAACAATGCAATATGTTCTAATTGTAATCGTGCACTTGGAGCCTCCCATCACAAAAGTCAGCAAGTAATGAATGATCCTCCGCCCATATCAGCATACATGACATCTTTATCGACCTTAAGAGCCTGCACACAAGGACCTTTCTGCACTATCGTACTAAACTCGCCAACCCACAATCTTCTATCTGGTTAGTATCTCTAATAATCCTCCATTCTTTGTTCCAAGGTTTACCCCTCTAGTTGGTACAAGCTGTACTTTTACCATTCTGAACCATTCTTTAGCTATCCCACGATCAACTTTCTTACCACTCACTAACCATCCTATGATTTGGCAACCGATTCTATAGTAGACAACTTGACATTTCCAGAGAAATAAGTCAGACATTCAAAGACACCATTATTGTACTTGAAGCTGCTCCAAGAAATGCTCTAGAAGCTAGAAGCTAAAAATTGAATGTTTATCAAAGGGAGATAAGAATTTCAGCCACTTACATCGAATGAATGACTGAGTCGTCGTTTCAAATCGGAAATCGAATGCTTTATCGCCCAATTCTCGCTATTGCAGGAGTTCTCCTACCCGGCGCTAGTTGACTCGTCGTTTTCGATTGGGCTTTTCGAGTCTTTGATTCCTTCTGGGTCTTCCTCTAGTAAAAGAGTCTCCGCCACCTTCAGAATTCAAGTCCTCTTTGTCGTCGCCACTGCTCACTTCCTTTACTATCTACGAACAGACCCACCGCGAAACACAATCCCAGGAGAGGAAAGTTGAAAAACGATCAGACCCACCGCACAATCTCACCGTTTCCGTCGCCGATGCTCAAGCCCTTCAATATCGACGAAGAGACCCACCGCGGAAGAGCACAGTTCACAATCGCGAAAGGGTAAAGTTGAAACCCCCCAATTTCTTTCTTCTCACAACGTCGCTGTCGCCCTAGATGCAGGTTCGCCGTCGACGTCGCACTATTTCAAATGCAGGTTCGCCGTCGCCGCGGAAGAGACGCTCTGAAATTCCACCTCGGAAGAGAAGCTCTGAATTCCGACGAGCTCAATCGCCTTTACCCCGACTGGATTTCAATTTTTTTTAAATTATTGTGTAACGAACCGGTGCAACAGGTTACCAGTCCAACAAATGAAAATAATAATAATTAAATAACTTCAATCCAATGGCTGATGTTTTATAACAAGATCTAATGGCTCTAATTAAAGCATGGGTACTATATAGCATACTAAAATGCCTCTAGGGGTGGCAGTCGGTCGTTTTCGGTTAAACCGAGTCTTCCCCCTGTCTACCGACCGTGATATAAGGCGCGGTTAGCCGACCACCTACTGACCGGTTTTCGGTTCTGGTCCGGTTATAACCCAACAACCGAATTTATTAAAAAAAAAAAAGGAAAAAAAAAACCAATTCCCACCCCACCCACGTTACTTCCTCCACTCTTGTCAGATAAAAAGTAAATTTTTTTTATTTCTTCCAAACCAAACCTCTTCTTCTTCTCTCCTCTCCCTACCACTAAAATCTTATCTTCTTCTTCCTTCTCTCTCCTGCCTTCCTCCAAAAAGAACCACCAAGGGCAGAGACACCTCCGATCTGGCGGTACTTGACGATGGCCAACGCACCGGCCTCGGGAGGACGCGGCCGCCACGGCCTCCGCCTGGAAGACCTCCGACCGTCCGCCTGGAAGACCTCCACCTGGAAGTGCTGGACCTGGCGGCGCCACTGCTAGATGGCGACGGCGCCGAAGCCGTGGAGGAGGAGGAGGGAAGGGTTTCGGGGGTTGGGTTTTGTTGGGGACCAGAACTGGACGGTGGTGGTTCGGTCGGTGGGGCCGGTTTTCTCGGAGAGGCCGGCGGCGGAGAAGCAGGCGGCGGAGGTAGAAGGTGTAGAGGGAGGCGAGGCTGAGGTAGGAGGAGAGTGATGGAGCCATGGAGGAGGAGGAGGAGGAGGAGGAGGAGGAGGAGTGAGAGGTAATTAGGGTTTGCGTCTTATTTGGGGATGGTGGTTTCTGTTGGGGAGAATGAATTTTTTTTTGTGTGTGTTGATTCGGTTGATGTATGGAATGAAGTGATTTTTGGGGGGTCGTTTTAGGGATGGTGCGGGGCCGTTTTGGAGAAGAGGAGAAGAGGTCGGTTAGCCGGTTAACCGCCGGTTTTCGACCCCGGTTAATCGGCTAGCCGAACCTCTTCCCCTCTCATCCGGCAACCGACCGAAAATAAAAGTAACGGTTTTTGGTTAGCCGAAAACCGGTTGGTTCAGTTGAAATTGACCGGTTAACTGCTAACCGAAAACCGTTCTGCCACCCCTAAATGCCTCCAATTAAATAAACTTCCGAAAATCAACGTTTTTGTTTTGTCTCCATTAGAGATTCCCATCATTTTACATTCAGTGTTCAGCAAAATTTCCCAGGAAGAAACTCAGAAACCTCAAAGTCATAAGCAATCGGCAGCTCTCCCAACTCCACTTCCAAAAGCACCGCCTGAAAATGGAGTCCATCGCCGTCCTGATGACGAAACCCATCTATTCGTACCTCCAAGCAGAGCTGGAGAAGCGATTCAAGGTCCTCAAGCTCTGGGAAGCCCAAGACGGATCCCGATTCCTCGAAGACCATAACCAGATCATCCGCGCCGTCGTCAGCGACGGCGGCACCGGACTCAGCCCCGAGCTCATGGCGGCACTTCCGAAGCTGGAGATCGTGTCCAGCTTCAGCGTGGGAATGGACAAGATCGATTTGGGCAAATGTAAGGAGAAAGGAATCAGGGTCTCCAACACTCCCGACGTTCTCACCGACGATGTCGCCGATTTGGCTATTGGGTTGACCCTGGCCGTCTTGAGGAAGTTGCCGGCGAGTGATAGGTATGTGAGAAGTGGGATGTGGAAGAAAGGCGAGTTCAAGCTGGGCACCAAGGTCTGAACTCTGAACTTTCCCCCCAAATTTTTGCCCTCTAGTCCAATGGTTTATTATTTAGGTTGTGCCCATGTTTGTTAGATATTCGTATTTCGCTTGTCAACCTGATGACCTTAATAATCTCAACTCCATGGGTCCCAAATGATGATTGTACCATAAAAATAAGAAGAGATGTAAGATTAGAGAGTTGAATTGAAGGTAAAACCTAAGTGTTCAACATACATGATATGTGAATGTGAGTGGCAAGATGTGCTTCTCTATATAGCAGGTTGATTTGATCCTCCTTGTAACGGATTTGGATGAAATTGGTAATATCAGAGAATCAAAACAGATAAACTAGGTTCATATCTTAGTACCAGAAATGGATTGATTGTACATTCAGTTCTCATATTCAAGTTTCTTTCTGATTACACTGACTGGTATTGAACTCTATACTGTGAAATGCTGCTGTATTTTCAGTTCTCAGGCAAATCAGTGGGGATTGTCGGGCTAGGCAGGATTGGTCAAGCAATAGCCACCAGAGCAGAAGGATTCGGCTGCAAGATCAGCTACCACTCAAGAACCCCAAAACCAGAGTCCTCCAACTACACTTACTACCCCAGCGTCGTGGATCTTGCAGCTCACTCGGACATCCTTGTCGTCGCGTGTGCCCTGACCAACGAGACTCGACACATCATCAACCGAGAAGTGATCGATGCGCTGGGCCCACGTGGCGTCCTCGTCAACATTGCTAGAGGTGCCACTGTTGACGAGCCTGAGCTTGTCTCTGCTCTGGTGGAAGGCAGGCTTGGTGGCGCCGGGCTGGATGTGTTTGAGAATGAGCCGAATGTGCCGGAGCAGTTGATTGAGCTTGATGAGAAGGTTGTGCTGGCGCCGCATGCTGGGAGTGGGACGGAGGAGACGAGGAAGGGGATGGCTGACCTTGTGGTGGGGAACTTGGTGGCTCATTTTGAGGGGAAAGAGCTGTTGACCCCTGTGGTCTGATTCTTGGGGCAGCCTGTAACTTTCTCTCTGTTTAACTATTGAGACATTTTGGGAGGGTTTCAATGAACTTTCGAAATTTGGCACTTCCAATTGCCACTCTTCCTAGATTTGTAATGATAATAATTGTGATTGTGATATCGTACCAATCGGTCATAAATAGGTTAGATAATGTATTGCTCACTATTTGGTGTACTAGCCTAATCGGTGAGTTAGCAAGTTTTGCAGGTCGATTCCCACCACCCATATATTCTACAGAAAGTCACTCATAGTCACTCCTACCGTTGGCCAAGTCTAGGCTTGGCAACGGGGCGGATCGGGGCCGGGGCAGGCCCATCCGTCACCCGCCCGAAATTATAACGGGTTTTCCCCGAATCCGCCCCGTTAGCAATAACGGGCTTTTTTTTATGCCCACCCCCGAAACCAACGGGTAACGGGTCAGAACCCGTTATAGCGGGTTTACCCGACAAACTTAAATTTGCTGAATCCAACAAAAAAGTAGAGACATTACAGTCAAATTAAAACTGAAAAACTGCATAAATTGCAGATGAAATCCATCAACTTGCAAAATCCAGCAACCAGACATCAATAATTCATCATCCAAACATGTTCGAAATTGGATTCCAACATCCATAAAGGCATATAGCCATAAACCAAACGAAAAAAAAAAGTTCCAAATTGAACCAAACAACAAAAAAGAGCAGCAGTTGCATTAGTTCTCTTCACCCTTCAATTTCAGTCTTATCGAGCAGCACCATCATCAAGCAATCAGCAAACAAAATCCAGCAGCCCAGCACAACAATCACCATTCACCAGCAGCACACTTCAATCTTCAATGTCCAAGAGTGTACGACTCTGGCTACCTTGAAAATCTGTGGCAATTTAAGGTACTTGTTAACTACTAACTTAACTACTAACTTAAGATAATAGTGTATACTAATAAAACAGAGCACAAGTACCTTCTTTCGTAAACTCTTCACAACTTGGATCCTCCATTGTCATTGCAGAGAAGCAAGTCTCCAAACCTTGAATGTCAGCCTTTCCAGCATCTGCATATTCAAGTAGAGTATAGTTAACAAAACTTTCGAATACTTAAAATTAAAACAGACCGGGAAATAACAAAAATAAGAGCTCTTACCTTTGCAAATGTCACTCTGAATCCAGCTACGGGTGCACATGAGTGCCTCGACAGTATCAAAGTGCAGCCTACTTCGGTGAGGATCTAGCAGCCTACCACCAGAGCTGAAGGCTGACTCAGAGGCCACAGAGGTCACTGGTACAGCAAGCAAATCTCTTGCTACCTCTTGCAAAAGTGGGTATTTTCCAGCATTCACCCTCCACCAATCCAAAACCCCAACATTTGAACTTCGAGGACTAACATCCTCACAGAGATAATGATCCAATTCAGAGCATAGTGAAACTGTTTTGGACCTTTTCCTTCGGCTTAAATAAAGCTCGAAGTCAAGGTCACCAGAATTGGCCTTAACACCATTAACAGAAGCAGAGGAGGCAGAATGGTCATCTCTGTCCTTTTGTTTCAACTGATACTCACGGACAACATCATAAACAGTGGCCTTAACAGTCACAGGATCAAGAGTATGATCAGAGCCATTGCTCTTATCATAATAGTACTGAATCAGCTCAAGTTTGTATGCAGGATCAAGAACAACAGCCACAGTGAGCAATACATGGATATCAGTCCAGTATTTGCTAAACTTGGCCCACATTTTTTCGGCCATTTCACAAATGATGCTATCAGGATCAGTCATCCACTCAAGCAGATTCAATTTCAAGTCACAGATCCTTCGAAAGAATATATTAGCAGTAGGATAATTGCTTCCAGAAAGAAGCTCAGAAATATTTCTGAAAATCTCAAGCTTTTTGCTAATAACAGTAGCAAACATCCAATCATCACTGCTAGGCAAGGAAGTATAGTTAGGTTCTCTCTGATTCAAACGAGTGAACACTTCCTTGTATGGAATTGCATATTCAAGCATATGCAAGGTGGAATTCCACCTAGTAGGACAGTCAAGTGCAAGTTTCTTTCCAATACAAACATTCTTTTGCCTAGCAGTCTCTTCAAAGAACTCAAGTCTCCTAGGAGTTGCAGTCCAATACACCACACTTTCCCTTATCTTTTCAATCCCATCTTTTATAATTTCAAGCCCATCTTTAACAATTAAGTTAAGAATGTGAGCCGAACATCTCATTTGGAGGAAGGAACCATTCAATAGAAAGTCAGACATAACCATCTTCCTTTTAATCTTTTCAATCATGGCATCATTTGTAGAACAGTTGTCAAGAGTGATAGTGGATAACTTACAGTCCACATTCCATGACATTAGAGCCTCTCGGAGCACACTTGCAAGTTTCTCACTAGTATGGGGGGCAGGAACATAGAGAAACCTGTCATACACTCACACAAACATCAAATGAAGCTCGAAGTCAGTTTAAGTGTTAAACAAATAAACATCAAAGAAAGAACAAATTGAATAAGCAAATTACCTTAACAAGTGGCTCCTAAGGTTCCAATTGTTGTCAACATAATGAGAGGTTACAGCCATGTAAGCCCTCTTCTGATTACTTGCTGTCCACATGTCAGTTGTGACAGCAATTCTACCTTTGTTACCATCAATGATTTTTTGAATCTTTTTCCTCTCAATCGCATACAAGGCAAGAATATCACTCTTGCAAGTGTTCCTACAGGGAACTTTGAACAAGGGCTGCAGAGAATTGCAAAAAATTTTGAAATACAAGTGATCCACCATACCAAGTGGATACTCGTGCATCAAAACCATAGTGGCAAGTTCCCTCCTTGAAACCTCAGCATTGAACTGACCAGTACACAGTTCTTTCTTTCCAATCAAACCATTAGGGAGGAAATTAGTGGCAATGTTTTTCTGATTACCATCGTGAATTTGTTTCTGAACACACACCTTTTTATGGTTCCTCAAATGAGAGGTACCATTGCTGGTGTCACCACCAAGAACCTTTCGACAGTATTTGCATCGTGCTTTCATTACACCATCTTTATCCACAAACCTTGTAAAGTGAGGCCAAACATCACTTTTCAGTGGACGTTTGGCCCCAAAAGGCAGGGGAGAGGGCTCTGACTCACCACCAGCAGCAGCACTAGTATCAGCATTGCCATTCACAGCTGCTGGTGCATCAACAGCAATCGCTGATTGATGCTGCTGTGGTTCAGGGCCTTCAGGCAGGGGCTGAGGATTGGGGGGTGGGAGTGGGGATTGAGAATTGGGGGCGGGAGATAATTGAACTCCTTCCATTAATTACCTGCAATCACCCGAGAAAACAAACCAATGAAACAAATCAGTCGCTGCTAAATTCCTTGAAACCTGAAAGAACTAGGAGAATCAAGTAGTATTACCTTTCTAAGCTTCGTTACTGATCAATGACAACCCCGCCACCAGAAACCCTAACATCAATCAACAAAGTCCCGAGGTATTAGACAAGTTGTTGAAAATAATCTTGCAAACCCCAGAGGTCAAGGCTAAGAAGAACAGTAGAACACTTACGGTTGTGCTTCCTTCACCTTGCAGTTGCAGTGAGCCAGTGACTGGAAATCGCAATTGCAGACAGCTGCTAGCTTACTACTTCTCTCTGAGTGATCTGCTCTCTGAGAATCTGGCAATCTGCAGCAAAAAAAACCCAAGTAAGGTATTTATAGGCGCATGCATGAAGGGGAAAAAGAAGTTCCCACTTCCTATCGAACTCGAAGAGTCGATAAAAGGAAGATGGCGCTCTAATCGCCATCGGGAATGGCTCGATTCGAAAAAATCGAAGGGTTTGCTCTGATTGATTGGGTATCTGCTCTTAGAAACAATGAATGCAATGATTTTGTGCCGTTTTTCTCTACAATCGAAGAGCATATTGCGAGATTTGAGGAGAAGAAGAAGGGACAGGGTTGGGGATTCGATTTTTCAGAGCGGCGCTAGGGTTTGTAAAGGGGTGAGATTTTTTCGCGAAATGAACTGGGGACTGGGGGTGGGGTGGATATTCAGAGGGGAAGCGGGTTTCGGGTTCTCTCGGGGCGGATATTAATAAATCCATCACCGCCCGACAACCGGCTGTAGCGGGTAACGGATTCCCCGCAAACCGTCAACTATCCGTTTGACCGGTTTTTAACCGCCACCAACCGGGGCGGGTTCGGTCGGGCACCCGGAATTCGGGTTCAATTGACAAGCCTAGCCAAGTCCATTGCTAGTCTCCAAATTTGGGGACCTTCATCTCCAAATTTGGGGATCATCCTCATTTTCTCCTCTTTTCTTCCAATGCTACATTTTTCAAATTTGGAATTTTTTTAGTTAGTTTTTCTTCACTTAAAAACGTACTTATGATCATCTTAATACAATTGTTCATGTTAATTTTTTGTATAGTTCGTCACTATTTTTTTTTTAAAATTCCGGTAGAATTTTTTTTAATTTTGAGACCAATTTTTTTTGACAAAAAATGATTGACCTAATTTGAGTTTGCACACAACACTTGAAAATTATTGATCTAATTAAACCCCTAACTAATTCCCTAATTAAACCCCAATTAACTCCTAGAATCTTAAAAAGAAACAGAAAAGCCACGTGGCGGGCTTTGGGAAGTCTCTATATTTGGGGGAATCCCCATTTCCACCCCCAAATTTGGGGATTCTTTTACAGATCTCACCCAAATATAGAGACTCCTCCATTTATAGAGACTCCATTGGAGCCAACTTTTCCCCAAATATAGAGACTCCCCATTTATAGAGACTCCCCCATTTCTCAAGTTACACATCACTATGGCTTGAAAATGTTGAATGAAGTAATTGCTGAAGTTATTGAAGTGTTAATAGCAATCACACTTGAAATTGTATAAGAATTACGTTGTTGAAGATGACCTTAGGTTCCATCAAATGGTTTGGATTAGTTCAACATGACTACTTGAGACTTTCCCAATGCCCATCATTAATCATTTATCCATTTTTAGTTAGATCTGGTAACCGCTTAACCCTAGGTACTATTATTGTGGAGTCAGTAAAGTGACAACAGTGATGACAATTTGAAATCATCCTGCTTGGTATTACTTGAGTCGTAGTAGCGTGCGGTGGGGTATGGATACTACTTCCAACTCACCCTGGCCAGCTTCGTCTTGCCTCATTCTTGACCCTTGCTGGTTGCTGCCTTAATTTGTCTCAATATTTATCCTATTTTGACTTATCTTAACTCTCATTTTCACCCAATGATACTTTAAATATGCGCAAGACTTCATCTTTCAACTAATTTGACTCAATTAGTCTACATTTTATCTCTATTTT